GCTGGAGACTCGTGGCACTTTTCTGCCCAGGAATCTCTGGTCTATGGGCAGTGAAAACTCGTCTGGAAATGTGGTGATCACTCACCCTCTGCATTCTCGCTGGGAACTGTACTCCAGAGCTGTTCCTATTTGGCCATCTTTCTGGTTTCTCCTTTTGTTGTTTTTTATTTTTTTTTTGAGTCTTGCTTTATTGCCAGGCTGGAGCGCAGTAGCGTGATCTCAGCTCACTACAACCTCCACCTCTTGGGTTCAAGCTATTCCCCTGCCTCAGCCTCCCGAGTAGTTGGAACTTCAGGCACATACCACCACGTCCAGCTAATTTTTGTATTTTTAGTAGAAATGGGGTTTCACCATGTTGGCCAGGATGGTCTTGATGTCTTAACCTCATGATCTACCCACCTCAGCCTCCCAAAGTGCTGGGATTACAGGCATGAGCCACCATGCCTGGCCAACTTAATTGTTTTTTAACCTATCTTCTTTCATTAAAATATAAGCCTGAGGAGAAAAAGGACTTTTCCCTTTTTTGTTTGCATCTGTAGCCTCAACACCTGGAACAGTGCTTTAATTCAATAAATACTTGTTGAATAAATGAGACATTCTGTTGACTTTTTCACCGAGAGACTTTGAGAATCATCATGTATAAACCCTTAAATAACCAGATAAGGCCAAAAACAAAGAAATGATCTGTCAAAGTCACATTTGAATTAGTAGAATAATGTAGCTGGAACAGGATCTTCTGACTCAGCACAGGGCTGCTGTATAGGCAAAGTCATTAAAATCACCTTTGATTAACTTCCCTAGCTACTCCTTTTTCCTAGACATTTATGCTAATGGAAAACATGTATATGAACACACTGTCATGACAAAAATAGGAAAGACATAAAAGTACGGAAAGGGTAATATTATGTCTGCGTGTGTATTTAAAATATGTGTGTATATATACATAGGTACCTTACATTGTTTACTTTCACTTTCAAGAAATAAGAACAGGCCGGGCGCAGTAGCTCATGCCTGCAATCCTAGCACTTTGGGAGGCCAAGGCTGGTGGATCACGAAGTCAAGAAGACCATCTTGGCCAACATGGTGAAACACTTTCTCTACAAAAATATAAAAATTAGCCAGGCATGGTGGCATGCGCCTGTAGTCCCAGCTACTTGGGAGGCTGATGCAGGAGAATCACTTGAACCCAGGAGGCGGAGGTTGCAGTGAGC